TTATATATGTAAAAATCGTTTTTATGACTACAGTGCTTTTTGCAAGGCTACTCTCATAAATGTCATGACGCATTTGAGGCCAGGGTTCTTCTATACTCGCATTAATGTGCTGACTTATTATTGCGTTAATTCCATGATTTACAGTATTCATGAAGAACATTTCACGTGGGACCAACAGAGGGAAATATGACTATCGCCTATTTTTTTATATTTAGCTAGCTCAAACGATCTATTGGTGTGATTAATTGTTATGGTATCCACAAAATAAGTAGGATCCGTTTTTTCTGTTTTTGTTGTTCTTTGTGTAACGCCGCACGTAGCAATATTCCAGTTATATGACGGTTGTCTGTAAATAATCGAGTCTGGACCAGACAATCCAGTGATTGATATCACGACCACCGATCCACGCAATTGAGATACGATGACATGCATCAACCAAGTCAGCGAGCCTGACCACCCGATCCCTTTAGTCGCCTCTTACGACAAGTATAGTCGCCTATAACGGCAAGCATGGGTTGCTGTAAATCTATTCTTAACCGGATCTTCAAAGGTCAAGTGGGATTCAACTGATATGTTAAATGAAATAAAACTGCATTATATGTGCTGTTTACATATCAAAGTTTGCCAAATTGTTACAAAATGTTTGGCCACAGCAAGGCTACGTATTCACAACTTATTGTGGTAGGCACAGTATAACTCATGAGTCTGGACTGAGGGAGGGCCGTATTCCTCCTTGTGGGTCACCTGCTTCGCAATATGCAAATTTGGGACCGGAAAACTGCATGGGTGAGGGCAGTTAAGTTGATGGTACAGACAGACAACAGAGATCATTTTTCAAATGTGAAACCTCATTCCACAAAGGAAGAGGCGAAAACTGAAACTTTGTGAGATTTACAGAACAAAGGCAGTTATTTCTAGTTTCTTACTGACTCTCCAGGATACATTTAATAAAAATTCGTGTGTGCGACACGGCCACCAGTCACTAAATTTGGGTCACAATCTTTCTGTCTTCTTTCATTTGTCATCTGAAATACCATCCCTTCGTGCACTTGTGCTTCCTGCTCAAGTTACCAAACACATCCTGTTTACGTACACCTGCAAGATATATATTACGCCGAGGAGAATTTACGATTATACGTTGATACGTCTGACTGCTGGCCTGGTACGCAATGTCATATTTCTTATCACAAGGGATCACAGGTGTGATACCAGTCTCCCTCAAGGAGACGTCTGATTTTAACTCTTTGCTTCGTCAATGCTTACGTCTAGCCCAAACCGGTAACTGGTACCACTAGCAACGATACAATGGCGTACAAAGACTTACAATGAGTCAAGCATCCGTCACTCGATTTCCATTTTGTTTGATTGTTTGATTGTTTGATTGATAGATTGATACATTGTGAGTGAGTGAGTGAGTGAGTGAGTGAGTGAGTGAGTGCCTGTTTCACTGGTATGTCCGGATCTGGGTACGGGTCACCGGCTTAGCGTCACCGATCTAGATAGATCTATGCAGGAATAGGTCATCCACGCAGATAGCGTAATCTCGATTAATGTATTCAGGAACCTTTCGTGAACAACATTTATTGAAAATGCTACCGAAGAATCAAACAACTTTAAGATTTGGCTTCTGTGGTGGAATCATTCTAATATTTCACATAACCGTTAACGTACTTCTTGAATGTGTTCACGCCATTCATTCAGACAGATCTCGAAGATATGTTAATATCTATGCGAGGACAGCGGATTAGATATCGCGAGGCCGGTTCACAATCCGTAAAAGCCTGTGATATGCCATGAATAGCCCATTGCATCTCCTGTCCAAAGACTTTCTTGTGTACGTGTTGTCACAGATCCACAAACTTAGGTAAATGGATCAGATAAAAGCAGGACTGCTGGAATCGGTTGAGGTGAACTTCCCATGACATAAACTCCTTCTTGACAACCGCTTAAAGAAAGTGCCGCTATTCATGTACACAGCCCTGTGGATGAATGAACGACCTAGCGAAGCCAGTAGCGCCACCTAGTGAGATATAATGGAAGAAGAACAAGTATTGAGTTGAATCTTGACATACTCCGGTGCCATCTGCAGAACCTTGTTAGCAATGGCAGAGTGATTTATGAGAGTTTAAGTGAGTCGCATTTTACGCCGCCTTAGCAATATTACAGTAATATCACGGCGATGGATTCCCACATTGTGCCTATGATATGCAGAGAATCGAACCTGGACTTTCGGCACGAGGAGCGAACGCTTTTACCACTAGGCAAGGCCAGCGGCCTTGATCATAAGATCAACCTAATGTGTTTTCATTTTTCAAATGTTAAAGTTTGCAATCACAGATAATATTTATCACCACTGTAAAATGCAAGGATATCAGCATATCATCACCATCATCATCATCATCATCATCATCATCATCGCCGTCACCATCATTATCATCACCACCACCGTAGGTTTTCGTAGGCAATAGATGGATTAGCATATGAACTATGATTCTCTTTAGGTAGAAAAAGATCCACGATGTTCGACCTGGTAGAAGTGTGTAATCAAACCGCACAGCATTGGTCTTTGATTGACTGTGGCGTCAAAACAAACTCATTCATGTACTTGATCTGAATGTTCATCTTAATTGTTATGGATAGTCACGGGGCCGTGATCCAGAGAACAGGGTGTCATTAGATAAAAATGAAGTAATAAAAGAATTACCAGAAAAACGGGGTAAAACGCCCAAGCCAATAACCTCCCCTCAGGAACACCAGAGTAAGTCAGTACAAGATTGAAAACTGCCCCATAAGTATGTATGACAGGCTAGTCGGGTATTGCTACTTGTATATGTGAAAACAAAGTTATTAAAATTTATAGCAAAACTGATGAAAGTCGCCAATAAACGTGTATAAGTGTTATATCGTAACTGCAAAAATAATGAGTGTTGTCTTTAGTATTAAGATTCAAATACGTGATATCTGTATTCGCGATATTGTCTACGTTCCACCGGTGAGTAAGCGTTAGCCTTACTATCTCGTAGTATAAATGTTGCAAGAAATTGTATTTCTGATGACATCACGATACAGTTTTTTACGATGCATCACGTCTGCACCAGCGCTTGATAACAGCCTTGTGTTTGGGTGTTTCAGTAGTTTAAATTGCTGATCTTGATGTTGTTGAATAAACTTTGATACTATGAACAATATAAGGTTATATGAGGGTATGACTTTAGAATGGTAATATGCGTTAATGTATATCTGATATAAATATATATATATAATAGGATGACATAAATAGAACAATGAGTAGTACGTCCAGATTAGTGTATAGGCAACATTTAAAAGTAGATGAAAGAACACAATCGTCCGGAATACAATGTATAATTCTGGTGCACTTCCATGTGACTATATAGCATACAATAAGCTTTCGGGTCCCGTTTGGGTTGGTTTGGGTGGCAGCTTAGATATCAATAGAGTAGGTTCATCTCGGAATCTCCCATATAACTGGGGCTCCTCTTCAATTTAAATGGAGTTACTTGTTTCTTTCAAAACTATACAGTTTTAGAGACTAAGCATTAGTCTGAATAGATATCACCAGTTTGGAATTTGAAACTAATCTGTTTACAGTAACAGAACACTGTTTAAGTGTCATGTACAAATGAGAAAGTGGAATCCCGTCAATTAGGCGGACGAACCTTAAAACTATTAATAATCATTATCATTATCGGGAAAATATATATGCATATACTATCGGGAAAATGTATATGCATAAAAAAATAAGTTTTAAAAGCCGGTTGATATTCTTTTGCGTATTTGACGAGTATATAACTTTCGAAAGTATAAATCCTTTTCCTATACTCAGACGTTCCTGAGCCTTGCGCTTTCCTAATTATTTTGACTAAAATTATTACCGTTATCATTGTATTTGTTAATGGGAAATACGCGCCGATCAAGTACGTGCCATAAATTAAAGCGACATTGTACAATTCCGAACTCATCACGAGACTGTGTTTATGAATCACTGTCAATTAGTGGTGACATATAGTGGAAACAATACGCGAATTCGCGCATGCACAGAACGGACAATTTGGACAAGGCATTAAGCAATCCGCATGCGCAGAACGATTGATTTCAGTACTTCCGCTAAGCGCTTCGAGTACAGCGTCAAACTCGGTCCTGTAATCTAACACGCGAGAACTGACCAATGAAATCTGAGAAGTAGGAATACCGGTAGACGCTGTTGCTTGATTGACAATGCAAATCAAGAAAGGGAGGAGCTTGATGATATCGTTCTCTCCAAGTAAATTCCGATGTCAAATAACGACGTTATTTGGACGGAAAAACGATGGTTTGAAAGAGTCCAAATAACGTCGTTTTTCCGTCCAATGACCATATACTGAAAAAAACGACGTTTTCGTGTTTGCAGTGAATACAGCCCCACTGACAATCTGGGTAATGAAGAAGGCTGCAGTGTTGGAGAGTCTTCACATTCTCCGAAAGGTTGTGGGTGGGTTTGACTAGGCAGCGCTTCCTGGGAAAAGTCCCATTCGCTGTCTGGGCTGCGTATAAAGGGGGACGAACCCTGAGCTGATGCTAAGCCTGACTGTGCCAGGATAACCCAAACCCTCTTTGCTGCATTTTTATTTTAATCTGTGAATAATGATGATGATGATAATAATAATAAGTGGCCATTTATCGAACAAAAGACTCTTCAATGCATTGTCATTATTATGGATATAGGTGTACACTTGTCAGCACACAATGGTTGGTTGGTTGGTTGGTTTGTTGTTTTACCCCGCACTCCGCAATATTCAAGCTATATGACGGCGGTCTGTAAATAATCGAGTCTGGACCAGACAATCCAGTGATTAGTCACCTTTTACGACAAGCATAGTCACCTTTTACGGCAAGCATGGGTTGCTGAAGACCTATTCTACCCCGGATCCTCACGGGTCTCAGCACACAATGGATATAGGTGTACACTTGTCAGCACACAAAGGATGTAGGTGTACACTTACCTGAGTGCAGAGTAAGATTCCAGCTAGAAAGCATACCACACATATACCAGCAGTAACTAGGTGACGCTTTCGTGACAGAACATCCGGGTATCTATCCACTATGGCTGTTGAAATTACCTCCACGTTCATAAACTGAAATAGATACCTGTTTGTTACAGTTTATTGTTCTTACATGAGGAATTAGTAGCACAAATTATACTGGTAGTCTGTGCTATGCTGCTATGTCTCATTATAAAACAAAGTTAGTTTGTATATTTTACGCCCCATTTAGGGGACCGATCATTTATTCTAAGGTTTTACCCAAACAACTTACTAAACATGCTGGTTGTTCTGACATAAATGATTTGTGTGTTAAAAACAATTTTTCGGAAAACAATTGTTTGTCATCAACAATAACTACAACAGTTTGGGAGGAAACCCTAAAATGACACAGGTTTTAGACGTTTACCACTGTGACGAACCCACAAGCACGGGTATAGTGTTGAAAACCCTAGGAACCCTAGGATGTCCAGTGCAATTCCCTATTTTGACTTGGATAATTGACTTGCCTTTGAATGTGTTTGTGACAGGTACAACCCGTTGATTTCAAACACCTTCATGCGACTACCTGGTATCATGTCTTCTTGACACGTGATGTTTATGATGTCGGAATGTTACAGCGTCAATTTCTTATGAGTGGCCGACCATTTGATACCCCACCCCACCCCGCCCCACCCCACACCAAACCCCACCCCACCCCACCCCACCCAACCCCACCCCATACCAACCCCACCCAACACCTCCACACCCAGCACCACACACATCCTTCTCTAAAATGTTTGGTGCCTGACTACGAAAATGGTTCTGTGTCTATTGTTTACCTGTGAATCAAGGCCGACTGTCAGCAGCATCAGGAAGAACAGGAAGGACCACAGCTGTGGTACCGGGAGTTGCACCAGAGCCTCTGGGTAGGCCACAAATCCTAACCCTGGACCTTCACTCACAAAGACAAATATCAATGCATGTGGTTATATTTGCTATGGGTGCTAACTAACAGAGCGAGGTCATGTCGCCCTCTACACCATTAGCAGTTTTCCAACACCAAGAAATGTGTCCACCTATTGTTCCCTGAACCCCGATTTTTGGCGTTAAGAGCAGGTGTTTCCACCACTGGGCTAACCACTTCCTGGCTTGATACACCACCACCAAGCAGGGATAATAGTCACAATATAATGTAGTACACGATCACTTTGACAAATAATTAATTCTTAATTCTAATTCTTAATGGTGTTATAGATGATGGTGGTGAATTTCGACATATAATTCTTGTTCAAATAGCTGACCTGACAAATCTCTTGTGTACTACCGATTGATCCACAGGTGTAAAAATGATGGATAATACTAGTTTCGTATTTTAGATATTTTTGGTACTTTCTACAAATATTTTTGGAAAGAATTATGAAGTAAGATTCATCAGTGAAGTGAAGAGAAAATGCAATCATCTCCTCAAATTAAGGACATATTTTAATATGATGAAAACAATTTCCCAATTATGAGTAATGTATTAAATTGATAAATTTCAACGTAAATATGTTTTAATGTTTTGCAAACAAGAGTACTTTCTTCTACGGTTCTTTTCCGAATTTAGTTTTTGCATGATTATGATGATTATGATTTTGTAATTTATATTTGGTTAAGCATGGGATCTGGCAGCATTCAAAAGGCCGGACCAAGGTATCCTGTTCGCAGAGACATCTTTCCATGTGACACATGGACATGCAATCAAGGCCCATAGTGGAAGGTGCTTCTGTCGTCAGAGACGACACTGACGTCAGAGACGACACTGACGTCAGAGACGACACTGACGTCAGAGACATCATGAATGTTGCACGGGCATCATGTTCCAAAATGAATTTCCTTAACTTGGCCTTTAATGCGGTACGTTTCGGGTTTATCTTAAGGATTAATTAGGGGGTGGCTCAGTCCAGTAGCTGCACAGAGTTGTGTCCCTTGGGCGTGCCAGAAACCAATGTAGGTTCGAATCCCAGTTCATCCCGATTATTCTTCTCGTTAAGTCAGCATCATAGCCGCTCTAGTCCAGGGTCATATTTTGTCTTTCTCAAACATTGAGCTGACACACGTAAATACTGATTAAATACAGTTTAAAACGGAGGTAACCAAACGCACTCACATTCATTCTTTCTTCCAATATGAGAACAGATATTTCTTTTTCATACAAGTGAATACAGAACCATATGCTTTATGGATCGGATGGTCAGGTGCGGTGACTTGGTTTATCGTGGATTGTTGCTCATAATATCAATCATATGATTTCCTAAGCTCGATTATTTACAGACGACCGTCGTTTCGCTGGAATATTGCCGAGTAGGGCGTTAAACAACAAACTGCGGTGTTACACAAGATTAAATGAATGAAGCAACTTAACTTACCACTGGAAACAACCTTCGAAATATGGACGCCAGTCTTCTCCGACATCACTCCAAGGATAGCAAAGGTCACTAGACCAGCAAAGATGCTTGTACCTTCTGATATTGTACTCACTATGATGGCGTCTCTGTGTCAAAAATAGATACAAAGTGGATATACACGTACAACACAAAAAATATTGACATAAGGGATCATTTTCCCTCGGATTTCTTTTAAATGCCCTTAAGGAATTCATTTGGAACGTGTCATGAAAATGTCAAAGGTCAAGGTCACGATATTCATGCACTTTTTTACTTGGTATAAACATTCCCTAGTATGGGCCTGTGCATTGAATATGTTTTGATCGGGATCAGTCAAAGGTCAAACTTTATGTTTGCATCTTTACACTCCAACCACGTGAAATGTTGGTGGAACGCTGTCAAAGGTCAAGGGGATATATGGCGTTACTCTGAAACGTACCTTGCATGACTCACGGCGAGTTACTGCATTTTACTTTACAATCATGAAACTTGTAAATTATTGGATCTTCAGAAGTTCAGGTCCATTAAGATCCAGATATAGACGTATTGTTTTCGGACTGGAGGAACATTGTGGTATGCTAAAACTTTCGAAGCTTAGAGCAAATGACGGTGAAAGGGCTTCTTCTTTTTCAGCAAAATATTAAAGCTATATGCATTTACTAACATACATAGAGCTTCGTGCAAATGGTCCTTACTGAGAAAACAAATGGAACATTCCCACCATCCCCATTCTTCCCTCAATCGCTTATATTAACCAGTTATAATGGGAGAGCGTAATTTTATTAACATGGAGTAGCTTTATGATACAATTGTATTGTGCACTTTTGCACGCATTTATTTGATGATTAGGTTTGGTACCCGGGAATTCAGTCCTTCTGACAATCTGGGTAATGCAGAAGGCTGCAGTGTTGAGTCGTCACATTCACGAACAGTTCTGGTTGGGTTCGACTAGGCAGCACTTCCTGGGAGAAGTCCCATTCGCTGTCTTGGCTGCGTGGAGAGGTGGTCATGACCCTGAGCTGATGATGAGCCTAACCAGCCTGACTGAGCCAAGATCACCCAACCCTCTTTGCTGCATTATTTTTATTTTAATATCAAACAAACGTAATAATAATGAATCGATATTTGAATATAAATATAAAGTGTCAGTTCTATGTGCACTTACAACACACCTTTTGATATGTAAAAAAAATTTACCGGTCATTTTGGAAAAATCCCATATGTTTGGATAATGGTGTAACAGGATTCCACATTGCTAGATTTCACACAAAGTTTCTTTTGTTTTGTTTTTTGGCAGCTTCAAGTGCTCATTTCATCGTAGCCTGTCAGATGAGAACCGGAGAAATTAAGAGGTCCATTCAGTCATGCAAGGTTGTTTTAAGGCGTGTAACAAATAGGATGTGTTAGAAACATAGGATGATACATCCCTCACATGTGTATAATAAATGCCATTATCTCCGACATTAACGTCCAACGGCAAAAGGAGCATGTGTTTGAGACGGATGCCACCGGTTGGGCAGGATACGCTGATCTTTCCGCGGGCACTTAGTATTATCACTATTTGGGAGTCATACACACACCCTTATGATGTAGTCGTTCCATGGACCTTGCTTACAGCAGAGATTTCTCATGATTATGTAAACAGTTTTGTCGCTTTCATCTTGATGCAAATAACAGACGTCCGTAAAATCTAGAGTCCTTGATTCAGATTTGTTAAGAGCGATGGGACTTCTTTCCCTAACGTCATATTGTTTAGTCACTATTGATCAACCACGCCTGCCTTAACTACTATAAACTGAATACGTATATATACTAACGGGAAAACAGTAGACTTCATATAAAGTTAAATTACAATAATTGTATTCTGAAATTAAATTATATTATGCATCTTTCAATACATGTTCGTGAAGACATCTCCTCGACTTCAAGGTCGTGATTCTCAATTTGAAGGTACATGTTAATGCAAGACGCACAATTTGGATGTTTGTGTGTTTGTTTGGAGCATGATACTTATGTTTAGGCATCAGGTGCTCATAAAAACACTTTTGTTTAACCGTAAATAACCCGGCCTTGGCGTCTACAGCAGGGCAACAATCATGACGTGCCACGGGCCGGTCGTCCACGTGTGACGTCACGTCAACAAGACAACATCTTGTTCGGAATCGATATCAAACTGCCACATTAATAACTTGGACAATTCCTGGGTTCACACCAATAAGTGGCAGAAACATAGTACAACGCAGCCATCGAGCCTCGGCGTGCTGTGAAATTTTGTTTCAACGTCACCGTCCGGCACGCCCGGCTTGGTGCAGACAGCATCTAATGGTCGGGGGAAAGACTGGGACAGTATACCGTTCACAGATGAGTCCAGGTTTCATCTGAACAGCTCTGGTGGTCGTACAAGCCTCTACAGACGTCAAGGAGAACGTTTTGGTGACGTTTGCGTTACTCAACGTGGTCAGTTTGGGATGGAAGTGTAATGGTATGGGTAGGCATTTCAACTCATGGGAGAACACAATTGATTTGAACAACAATTTGTATGGCGTACACTACTGGTACGAAGTCATCTGAAGGTCATATGTGCAAATACAGGGACGTAACGTCGCGTTGTAGCAGGGTAGTGCCCGCGTGCATGTTGCACGTGTCGTTAAAGACGTTTTGAGGCAGCACAACAATGCTGTACTACCAGGTTTCCCAGGCCTCTCCCCCATAGAATATGTCTGTGATGAGATGGGCCGACGCCTACGACGGGACTGGAACTAGCACGTAACCAGTTGAGTTGGACCAAGCTTTGGTTGACATTTAGAACAACACTCAGTAAATACTCCAAAGAGTATCTGGCTCCAAAGAGTATCTGGAACCCTGTACTTTGAACTGAATGATCAATCAGCCACGATGAAGACTTACTTGAGACACGGCTCGTGGAACTTGTTGTAGCTGGAGGCAGTGCCAATCGTTCCCCAGCCTAGACCCAGAGAATACATCACCTGTAGAAACGCCTCAAGCCACACCTATAATAATAGTAATGATGATGACGATGATGATAATTCTACCAGGACATCTTAGAACCTTGCATTATGATAGTCCACCAGTGACAATACTATTGCTGGTGACCGCATCACTGCGAAAAAAAATATTCATTCAGAAGCACTCAGTCTGCCTTCGCAAATCCGCCCGTTTGGTAATTTCAAATACTGATCTTAACGTTGCAAAGTATACAAAGTGTGACAAAATATTTCAGGCGGAAAACTTGACGAACAAATACTTAGGAAGTGTATTGTAAAAAATAAGTAACATCAACACCGCTTTTGGCGCTGCTCTATTACGTGCCCCGGATTTCTACTAAAATTCACATGGGAACTGAACACCAGCAATCTGAATCGGATAGTTAGGCTCGGTGACTTCGTTGATTACGTGTCATCGTACCCCTACGGCGTGAATCGTTGCTCAAGCACTTGTTTGATGGTCCAGATTCGATACAGGTAACCACCATATTGCTGTTATATTGCTGAGTACCGTGATATGTTGAACAACAGACTACAACAGCAGGCACATACCTGCACGTCCAGGAGCTTCCCGAAGTCCGGGGTGACAAAGTACAACAGACTACAACAGCAGGCACATACCTGCACGTCCAGCAGCTTCCCGAAGTCCGGGGTGACACAGTACAACAGACTACAACAGCAGGCAAATACCTGTACGTCAAGCAGCTTCCCGAAGTCCGGGGTGACACAGTACAACAGACTACAACAGCAGGCACATACCTGCACGTCCAGCAGTTTCCCAAAGTCCGGGGTGACAAAGTACAGCAGACTACAACAGCAGGCACATACCTGCACGTCCAGCAGTTTCCCAAAGTCCGGGGTGACAAAGTACAGCAGACTACAACAGCAGGCACATACCTGCACGTCAAGCAGCTTCCCGAAGTCCGGGGTGACGAAGTACGGCAGACTACAACAGCAGGCGCATACCTGCACGTCAAGCAGCTTCCCGAAGTCCTGGGTGACACAGTACAACAGACTACAACAGCAGGCACATACCTGCACGTCCAGCAGTTTCCCAAAGTCCGGGGTGACGAAGTACAGCAGACTACAACAGCAGGCACATACCTGCACGTCCAGCAGTGTCCCGAAGTCCGGGGTGACACAGTACAACAGACTACAACAGCAGGCACATACCTGCACGTCCAGCAGTTTCCCGAAGTCCGGGGTTACAAAGTACAGCAGACCAGACCCAGCTCCCGGCTGCATTAGGGTACTGATGAAGATGATGATAAGAAGAATGTACGGGACTATAGCCGTCACGTACACTGCCTGTACAACAGAAAGTCTTGTTAGGGTCAAACATCTGACATTCTGAGGACCTTGAATTTCTTTGTCAACACTGGTTTTAAGCGACCCATTCATGTAAATTTCACGCTATGTTTCATCACTATTGTGAAGATACTTTTTATTGAAAATCCCCCCTAATGTAGTCGTAGCTGAGCCCATATGTGTCGTTCAGAGAGTGAGTGAGTTGGGTTTAACGCTGCTTTTAACAGTATTCCAGTTATATCACGGCGTGTCAGCTTAATGTGGGAGGAAAGCCCGAAGTGATGCAGGTCTCCGACGTTTACCCCTTCGGTGAAACCCACGAGCAAGGGTATGGTGCTGACAAACTTAGAAACATAACCGCGGCGCCTTAGACGACTGGACAGCCCGCGCCCCCTGTTTCGTTTAGACTCGCCTGGCTTGTTCATTGTTATCATTGTCATCGGAGATGCAGCAGGGGACGCCGTCTTTACCTTTCCCACCGACTTGACACCACGGATCATGCACACAAATATGATGACGTAGGACGCAAAGAGACAGCCAACTATGTGCCACTGGACGGAACCGACCTCCTCTAAACCACGGGACACACTCAGTACGTTGTACCTGCAAGAACAGTCGAAATACCAACAGCTTAGTGTGATAGAATATGGTGATACACGAACATGTGTATGTCGCTGACACACCAAGGGTGATAATCAGGGCGAACCTGGGATTCGATAACAGGATTCTAACGTGTCTGAGGAACCTGCTAAATAGATTGTGGCAACAACTGGACCATGAGGATTTGCTCCTTATCAGAAGGTAAGGGCGATTGGGTTGACACTCCCGATTCTGGAATATGTCTAAAACCTGCGTACAAATAACTCACTAATCAGGACGTTTGGACTTTTCGTTGGTATTTCATACGAGTTATTCTTGGACTGATTGCATTTGATCCAACCAGGGCCCAATTACACACAACAACCTTAGCCTAGGTTAACCTTGACCAATTTCCTTCGTATGAAGTTACACCCGTTTCACCAAGCAACTCTTAACTCTGTGCTAAGGCTGTGTGACATGTGTGTGTGAAACTATCACTCGACATATTGTAGACACGACAGTTTAGGATATAACAGCCTGTTTCTAACACAATTTGTGAGTGCCAATTTTTAAGACCGACATACATTCTCGTCAAATATAATATTTCTACACCATATTGCAACCTACCTTTATTAATGCATGCCTGAGTGGTGGTGTTGAAATCTATGTGCACGTATGATTTAGAGCCGTATTTAATTACACCTTGGTCAAATTATATAGGGCAACAAATTCTGGATAAACAGGTTCGAACAGTTCCCCTCCAACTCCCAAAATATGATACCAATCGCGGAAATAAATCATTCTCGAAAAAGACACATGCCTCAACAGTTTATCTGCATTATCATCATACATTTCTTGACAGTGTCAATTTTCTCTGAATATAGCAGGTCAGGGGGTGATGATTCTCAAACACGGCCAGCAATACCGGCTGTTGCTACATTATCTATGAACGTTACGTATTTGAAACAACACTTTATATGTAGCTCGCCGAGGCTCGCTAAATACAATGTTTGATCCTAATACAGGATAATTACCACCCAAAATCACGCCTCTGTTTACTAAACAAAAGACATTGAATACATACAAAAATAAGATCAACCTTTGTATGTTTGGTTCAATCAGATCAACCTTAGGTTTAAATCGTAACCAAGGTTTGGTTTTAATTTTGATCAACTATGTCAGCGAGCACAGAATTGTTCTTGAGATCACATAATCATACAATCCGAAGTTCTTGTAATCGTTTGGGGCAGATTTCTCTCTCCTCCTCCCTTGAGTGGTACTAGTATATGGGCTTAAGATTAGACTGCCCACTATAACATTCCAACATTCCAGCAGCTCCAGCCTTTGGTGTTTATATTACACGTTTTTAGGTACAATCGAGAATGCTCTTTCTACTCAGATTTCAAAGAGCGCCAGACTCTTGCTCAGAAGTTTTTTTATCAAAGTTAAGACATTCAAGGCCTCAGTGAAGCTTTCAAAAAACGTATGGTAGACATGTGAAATACATCCCGTATTTCTTTCAGGTGAACAATTGACTTGCCTTTGCGTGTGGTTATGTCGGGAATCACTGGTGGGGCTCACCCGCTATCATCTCCATTGACAGTGATTCATAAACACGTGCTCATAATATAGTCGGAATCAAGCAATCGATGCTGTTTTGCCAAGATTGTTTTATGAATATGGAAAGGGTTCTGTCGCTTTTATTCGTATCATAAACATCATATGCTAGGAATACAAATTGCATTATGCGAGCCTTTGGTGGGCGTAATACATATTTATTCCTAGTATATGGTATTTACGATACGGAAGAACACGGGGATAATATTCTCTATATAATATGACGTCACTCTAAACAAATAGCAGTTTAAGACGTATTGCTATTCACAAAAGTAACTTCGGACATCGCGAAGGGTTGTCCACCTGAGTGAACAGGGAAAGAATAGGTCCCCAGTGTGCAGAGTTTGCCGTAAGGGCTGATTAAAGGGTTCGAGTCAGTGATTTGGTGGACTGCGTGTCGTCGTGCCGCGAAGACGTGGGCGTTTACTCCTGCTTTCATGTCTGATCCGGGTTCGACCACGGGCCATCGGGACACAGCTGGAATATTTCTGACTGCGGCCTTAAACAACATCTGCCCTCTCATTAACTTTTCAGGCGAGTGAGCTATGAATATCAATACCAAAAACATCTTTGACGTTTTCATCTCAGAAAGTAATTATTTGACCTCTACTCCCGCAAAGTACCTTAATCATTCAATTATTAATCAATATATTAATATACTAGTCACATAAAGAAACTGTGCACGGAGAAAATATATTCTGGATTGAAATACAACACAGCAAGAACAAAATGATGCAGACGCTGTAGCAGCTGAATGCTCGGACCATAAGAAAATGTCAACGGGACCTGAACAACATCTGTTACGATGACGTCAGAAGATCAAAATGGAGTAGGGGGTCAAACGACAAAGTCACAAAGTCAATAACGGGTATGACCACCCTGTGCGTGAATCACAGCAGTGTCCACCAAATGGGCATGGAAGGCCTGGGGAATGGCCTGCAATATCCTCCTCAAATCCTGTGCCAAGTCACGGACGTTATCTGGAGGATGTGGAAGACGACGCAGACGGCGCTCTATTTCATCCCACACATGCTCTATTGGGGAGAGATCTGGAGAATTTGCAGGCCATGGCAGTAACATGACATTGTTATGGTGAAGGAAATCCATTGCGACCCTAGCCGTGTGAGGACGAGCGTTGTCCTGTTGAAATGTCAATCCCGGGCCATGACGTTGCAGGAAAGGAATGACCACAGGCCTCAGAATCTGATCTCTGTAGCCAACACCGGTGAGATTGCCCTGAACAACCACCAAAGGGGTTCGGTGCCGTGCTGTTATCCCATCCCAAATCATCACAGAGCCACCTCCAAAACGATTCCTCGCCACAATACAGTTGCGTGCATAACGTTCTCCCAAACGCTGGCGCCCGTCACTGTGGGAAATGTTGAACATCGATTCATCTGTAAAGACAACATTTCTCCACCATATTCGAGGTTGGCGAACATGATTTCGACACCATCTTAGACGGTTGAGTCGATGACGGTGTGTCAGGATGGGACGTATGGCAGGGCGTCGTGGTCGAATCCCGTACTGACGTAAACGATTCCTGACAGTGTTGGGATGGATACGGCGCATTCCAGGAATTGTCTTGGACGTCGTTACTGCCGTTTGGAACCTGAGTCGGAGATGTGTAACTCGAATCCATCTGTCCTGTCTTGGCGTCGTTACTCGGGGACGTCCTGAACTTTATTTGTGTTCTGATAACGCCTCACCAATGCCGATATCGTGTTACGATGACATTGGAAATGTGTTGCCACCTGTTGTTGCCTCATTCCCGCACGGATCATTCCAATGGCTTCATGACGCTGTGCAGCTGTCAATCTTGGCATGATTTGCTTGTGATATGCTTGTGTCTGCGCCTGAGAAGTTTTGAATTTTTGAATGACCACAGATCATGCTTTCCAAAGTGACAGCGAATTTTGAGTTGCACATGCTGTGTACAGCTGCACAGGATGCATGTGCAGTAACACATTGCACGTCCATAGGCCCCCATCAATGCACGTGCATGAGCGTTTGAATGTCTCCAATAATTGCTGTGTTCAAACCTATATTTCATATATGGACGGTGTCCCCTTATATCTATATTTTCTCCGTGCACAGTTTCTTAATGTGGCTAGTATATTATGTATTTTTTTTAAATTCCATTGACGATTAATTAAGATCAATAGACATACGTTATCTGATTTATTATTAACGTTGCTCGTTGTCATACACCTTCATCGGCAATTTCTCAGCAATATCAATAGCTGTAAATAATCGCGGTCAGGGATTTTGGTTCAGAGAAAGGTTCCGCGCCGTCGGGTATGAAGACACGCAATCACAAGCAAATCACCAAGCCTGGCCGCCCGATCCAGTGTACGCTCGTATCTGTCGTTTACCACTAGTACCACTGGCTTGGGACCTTTCTAACCCGGGTCCTCACGAGGAGTAATCTTACTGCCAGAACTCCTCAGCCGCCGTATGCGCTAGAGTGACATTGTCCCACCGCTGTGACACAGTCATGTTGTCATTCTGCGCTGTCATGTTGCTGCTGAAGGTGATGTTCCTCACGTCCTCCACGCACAGGTCGGTGTTCCAGCTGTTGTCACACGTTGTCCAGGGCAGGATGCTGGAGCAAGACTTCACCATGTAGTAGATGGGCCAAGCCAGGAGGATGTTGTAGTAAGGGATGCAGATAACATACATCACGAGGGCACCAACTCCAACTCCTGTTTGGAAGAAAAAGTTTGAAATGGACAGGGCTGAAGTTCATCGTTTGTTTCATAGCTGTGTGTGGATTTGACGCTGCATTTAACAGTATCTAAGTTCTATCATGGCGCGTGAGCTTGGTGTTTTAGGAATGCCCGAAGTGATGCATGTCTTGGACGTTACCGATTCCGGTGAAACTCAAGAGCATGGGTACGATGCTGACAACCTTGAAATCTAATCAGGGCTTAATGGAATTCGAACCCACGATCCTAGTTTTCCGACATGCCTATAGGCACGCGACCCTGTTCAACGAACCTTAGACATCTGGTCCTATTTCATCCTTGACCACTTTTACTAATAAAGATTCTTTGGAGGTAAATAAACACATTTGGTACATGTACCATTAGGGAAGTGAGTGAGTTGGTTTCATGCCGCTTTGAACAGTATTGCATTTAAATCACGGCGCATCAGCCGTTCTTTTGTTGCTAACCCTGAAATCAGCTATATTCCAACTATATGACGGCGGTCTATAAATAATCGAGTCCGGATATGACGAACCACGCAATTGGGATTGATGACATGTATCAACCAAGTCAGCGAGCCTGACCACCCGATCCTGTTAGTCCCCTCTTACGACAAGCAACGGTAACTGAAGATCAGTTATAACCCCATCTTCACGGGTTGTGTGTCAGCTAAGTGAAAAAGGAACCGATGCGTGCAGTAAGTGACAATGAGTCACTTCAGCATTTCTACAGCCTGGGCGTCATGTACGGGCCCAGTCATGTTTATCTTTTGTAACAGGACAATCCACGCTTCCAAAATGTGCTATTCTTTATAAAGTAATGTGAAATAGGGTTCAACCTCGCGTTCAAGATCATTGCACATGTATGGCGACGCTATATCCTTATGATCATGACTTGAGCGAGATTGCTCAAACTACTTCCCGACCGTTCCCAACTTTTGTCACACAAATTTTCAGTATTTTTCATGTCCCAAATATTTCTGAAACCTGAATGCCTAAAAGGTAAAATACTTCTCGCTCTGGCAGTTTTAAGATTAAATGAGTTCCTCCTATGAAGAAAAACCTAGCCAAACAATATCACAGATATTGTCAACATAGAAACCCCATGATGAAGGCATAATGGAATCCCTGAGTCGTTTAGCAACTTGAATAAATACATTTTCCAAAGTACGACCCTACGTGTGTACGTGTTCCGCCCCTCACAAACACTAGTTGCCCTGCATACCTTATGAACAGTGATATTCGCTTTCAGCATGCAACCATAAACTAAAACATAATTGATAGTACAACAACGTTTTGTTGTTTTCATGCTGGGGGCGGATATCCCTAATCTGGATGCGTGGGTGTTTGTTAGGGTTTTTACCAACATGGTAGGAACATCATTTCACCCTCAATTACAAAATGTATGGAATGTCGCAAGCTTCTGGTTCCAAAGAGACGAATGAACCTTCCAATGAATCGTTGATTGGAATAATTTTGGATATTTACCACATCGGTGAAACCCACGAGCACGGGTATGGTGCTGACAAACCTAGAAACATAATCGGTGCGAATCGGGATTGGAACCCACAATCATAGGTTTCTTGCATGCCCAAGGGACGCAACTCTGCACAGCGAATCGCGGCGCCTTAGACGACTGGGCCACCCGTGCCCCCGCTGATTAAGTGTTCTTTCGTAGGCATATGTTGCGGGGAACCAGTTCCAACTCGGAATCCAACTTAACTCGGAATCCCCAGTTAATGAGTTAATGAGAATTAGATTTAATTTTTTTCGGAATTGGTAATGTGATGAGCCCAGCCACAAGAACTTTCAAACTAAAAGCCATAAACACTGTATGTTGAAATTGTAAACGTCGTACATGTGTTTACATCATATGATAATACTATACACCAACCTTTGAACATCGGACAGAAGCTCCAAACACGTGGTGTTCCTCTTCCTGAGAACTGAGACAGCGAGACTTCCAGGAAGAACACTGGGAACCCGATTATTAGGAGACAGAGTAGAAACGGCAGCAGGAAGGCACCTGGTGAGCATAGAAATCATCGCGAATTGTAAGGGGGCAATTATGAACATCCAATGACTTTGATGGCAGTTATTGGCGTTGACGTTTTTAATTTATATATGTCATTATATTGACAAAGGAAACTATATATTAGACATAACGACAACCAAACACCAAACCAAACACCAAACAGTATTGTATATTGAACACTTAGATCCAGAAAGTGGGTTTTAATCACTGAAGGTTAGCCAAATTGCATTCTAACATGCATAAGGTACACAATATTAATGTCATGTTACCTCCGCCATTTCTGTTGCAAATATACGGGAACCGCCACAGATTCCCGAATCCAACACAAAACCCTACCAGGGAGAGGATATACTCAAGGCGTGAATTCCATTTAGCCCTCTGGTCCTTAGTGTTCTCAAAGTAAAGTTCGTCACATTTCTCCATAGGGCATTCTTCATTGGTCATCCTCTCCATCACAATCTTCTCGGTTACAGTTGTCATTGTTCTCACTCTGTAAAAGACGTCCATTAATGGGTGAGTTGGTAAATTGGGTTCGACAATTTTTTTAAAAATTCTTCTACAAAAGGACAATAGGTATGAAAATTAATAACCAACTAGATGCGATGAGTTACGATAATCTTCCCCAAATTAATTAATTTTGTTTCAGCCGATGGTTTAAAACGTTCGCTCGTCAACCTGAAGGCCTGGGTTTGATTCCCCTATTCATAAAGCCCAATTTTGGAGCGCTGTGCGTATTTACACAGAATGCGCCATAAACGCACATAAGCCCTTTGAAGTCAATGCTTAAATATACAGTAGAGTTGTTTAGATGCATACCGTTTTCTCCATCCAAATTATTTCTACAGTTATCGCGGGTCCTACAGGTAGAGCGGGACATGCTTAACATTTTCCATTTTATCTGGTGGTTAATTTCACTGATCAATTCATATAATTTGTCCCGCATTTTACCTTTCAAGGCCAATGAAAGATGATCCGGCCGGTAATCTATACTCTTCTCTGACGTTGGCGTTTTCTGTTTATATTTGTGACACATGGTTTACAAATATTTGCGACAGCTTGAGTTGGCAACATATTTTCAGAATTTTCTTTACTTACAGCATATACACAAGACCAAATAGCGTCCATTCCAATTTGGAATGAACGTTGGAATGCTTTGGAAAGATCGCTCATTCCAAACTTTCCAAAGCTTGGAAAGATCGATCTTTCCAAAAAATCCAAAATTGGAATGGCAACATTTCCAAACATATTTCCAACACTGGAAATGTTTGGAATGACTTGGAATGGTTTGGAATTGTTTGGAAATGTTTGGAAATATGGTTAGAAGGAACAAGTTAAAATATGTTTTATCAGTAATTTGAACAATAAAAAGACTATGAATTAGGGGCTTTAGGGGTTGCTTATACAGTAATTTTGAAATTTTGAGATTTGGAAAGAATGCCAAGAGTGGGTGGGGGACGAACTAAGGGAGCTGTGTGTTGGGTGGTTGTTAGATAAGGTAGTTTTGGTTTTATTATTTTATTTGGGGTTTAAATGCGACTTATTAGTCCTGTTTTAATTAGGTATAAACCTAAGACTTTGAATTTTTCTAATTTATTTTATGGATTTAGGATTGATTCTAGTGTAAGTTCGGTTTTAAGATTTAGGGTGGTCTGTAGTGTTGTTCGGTGTGTTTGGTAGTGTGTGCAGTGAATGAGTACGTGTTCTGGTGTTTCTTGTTGTTTGCAATGTGGGCAGTTTCCTGTTTTGTGTAGATTAGCTATTTTACGGTGATTATTTAGTTTGGTGCCGCCTGTTTGTAGTTTAGTTATAATTCTGTCGATTGTTTTGGATGGGTGTAGTATTTTTGGTTTATTTAGGGGTTTTTTTTAGTACTTTCCTGATTTGGCTATTTAAGTTTTGGTATATATTTTGCCATTTTTTGTTGATTTTTTGTTTAGTGAGACCTTTGATTTCTGATTTTGAGCTGGGTAAGTTTAAGTTTATTTCTGGGAGTTAAAGGGATAATTTTGCTGCTTTATCTGCCTTTTCATTTCCAAAGATTCCTACGTGGGCGGGGGTCCAAAGGAACTCTATTTGTTTCCCTGCCCTAGTTAAGTTGTTTGAGCTATTGAGTATTTGATTTATTAGTTTGGGGTGGTTTTTTAGTGTTTTTGAGGGCTTGTAGTCCACTGAGGTAGTCGGTTAGGATGAGGATTTTTTGTTGTTTTTTAGATTGCTGATTGTCTAGTGCTGAGACAACTACTGACTGATATAGAAGATTTAACGTGCGCTTTCCGACTGCAGCGTATTTCGCACACGGGCCTGGCCGGACCATTTAGTGTATTCCGAAAAGGGTGAAAGTGGTGTGTACAACCCAAGAGTGGGTTTTAGGGGTTGCTTGTATTGAATTTTTGAGATTTTTAAATTTGGAATAAATGCCAAGGTGGGTGGAGGAGGGAACTAAGGGAGCCGGTTGAGGTGGGTGTTTGTATGTCTATTGGATTTTGGATTGGTAGATTAACTAGTTTTTAGATGCGCTTAATTAGGTCTGTTTTGATTAGGAATACGCCTAGGGCCTTGAAGTTTTCTAGTTTATTTTGAGGGTTTAGTAGTTCATCTAGAGTAGGAACCTTATTTAGATTAAGGGTGGTTTGTAGTGTGGGCAGTTGCCTGTGGTGTGTCTTTTAAGTTTTTTTAGGTGGTTATTTAGGTTCGTGTGTCCTGTTTTGAGTTTTGTAATAAATCTGTCCATTTTTTTAGAGGGGTGTAGGATTTTAGGTTTGGCTAGTGGTTTTCTGAGCACTTTTTTGATTTGGCTATTTGAGTTTTGATATTGATTATGCCATTTTTTGGTTATTTTTTGTTTGTTTACACTTTTAATTTCTGATTTTGAGATGGGTAGGTTTAGGCTTATTTCTGATAAGAGATAATTTAGCTGCTTTATCGGCGCTTTCGTTGCCGTAAATTCCTACGTGGGCGGGGATCCACAAGAAGGTTATTTGTTTGCCTGCTTTTGTTAGGTCGTTGGAGCTTTTAAGTATTTGGTTTATTAATTTAGGTCGTTTTTTTGTATTTTTGTTTTGGAGGGCTTGTAGTCCACTAAGGGAGTCGGTGAGAATTAGGATTTTATTGTTGTTTTTAGATTGTTGGTTTTGCAGGGCTGAGGCCATGCCCATAAGTTCGGCCGTGAATATAGATTGGTTGTTTAGGGAGTCGGGAAGATTGTGTGGATATAACTGGTTGTGTGGTATGGACTCCGAAGCCTGTGTGGTTGGAGATCGGGTCTGAAGATCCGTCAGTTTACATGTGACACCCATTTGGCCAATTTTCGTGTATGTATGCAAGTGTGGTGGTTTTACCTATGTTTGGGTCGGTTTGTTTATTTATTTGGTTAGTTAGCGTTGGGTCTATTTTGTGTATTTTGAGTTTAGGGGTGAAGATATTTGATTTTTTGCAGTTTTGTTTAAGATTTTGAGTTTGGTGTTCATTGAGATAGTTAGTTATTCTTTGGGATATTGGGGTGAGTAAGGGGTGTTTGCGAGCTAGAGTTTGGTTTCTTGGGCTAATGTTTTGGTTAATTATGAGACAACTAATAGGTCTCAAGATTAAGTATTCGGCTGGATGACAGCTGCCATTTAATTACAAAACAGACAGTCGTCTAGACGGCTCACATGTAAGTGCGCCGACATGTGCCTAAGATCATAAAATGGACAATCTTTGGTAACATCTAATTTATTGTTGTCTCACGCCAGAGCTGTGAATAATTCTGTTCATTGAACAATTGGAATTCAGGAAGTTATCAATAATTGTTTTACTTAAGATAAGATAAGATAAGATAAGTTGTTTATAACATAATATTATGATGTCAGGACGTACTACATTCAAAACCATATATTTTAAAATCAATTTAATGACAGACTATGATTTCCAAGTCCCGATTAGCAAATCAATGTGGTATCAGTTTCACCACATGTGCACAGACCGCCTATACTTATATATATATATATATATATATATATTTTTCATAACTATTCTCCAGTTAAAGTCCTATCCTCTTATCAAAAAATCTGTGAGAGTGATCATCATTAACGAAACTCATTCTCGTCAAAGAATACAGAACAAATGAAGAATCAGATGCATACATTTATTGCCATGCTTCATTTATCACGAAGTAGATTTACATACATTTGTGAATAGCACTTAAACTGTGATAATGAATTTTACCATTGTCTATATTATATTATAAGTATTAACCATAATATGGATTTCCGAATTTATAAACGACTCCAAACGTTGATATTTCAGACAAAAACAAAGTCAGCCGTCTTTTAACGTTCAAGGGAAAAGGGTTTGCTTTCACAATTGAACATTTGTTTTCACCAAAGGACAATCAAATCAAGCCAAAAACAGTAAAAATACACATATATGGTTAGCGACCGTCATTTATAATAATAATATAGTTTATTACAGTGTCATGTGTTACAAAGCAATACAACATTTAGCACATACTTAAAATACAAACACCAGGCCTCAGTGGGCCGAAATGACACCTTAAGGTATTACAAATATTAAAATACAATTAGATATAAAAAGTAATCATGCACATTCTTAATATCTACATATACACATATTCACTAACACAATCACATAATGCACTCATGCATACACACATATATACATACGCACTCACGCACGCACATTATACAGCGAGGGGGGAAATTCGTCTGCTCTAACTGCCTTCACAAAAACATTCCAGCCCTTAATTACCGAGGCAGCTGTGACGTAGTAGCATTACATTCGCTGCGTTTGCAGCATATAAGATGTGTAATCTGTGGAGTGACTAAAGTAATATTACGGCTGAAATCTTACTTGCATGGTTGTTTTAATAGAAAACTTACGGTTTAAAAACACAATTGTTCTTATATAATGTTTTTAGGTTTGGTTTATAAATACAAGAGAAGATTTTTTATACATATAAAACTGGTCGAAAATACAGCTCAACAATAGAAACATAAAAATAGGAGTTGTGAATAGTGACAAATTTTAATTACATTACCGTGTCAATAATTATTGATTGATTCCGTCAAACTTTCAAACCATTTATTGCCATGGACGTACACTACTGCCTAAAAGTTCATTCCCCTAACACGCGTTGAGAACGCGTGTAACACGCATGTGACACGGGTGCTCAACGGGTTGCACACGCGTGTAACACGGGACCGGGTTCCAGTTGAAGTTGACAAAATTATCAAATGAATAATGAGATAAAACAAAACAGTGAGATGTGAAATTTGAGTTAATGAGCGGCCATTGAGCTGTGTTCACCAGACCGTAAATACAAGGTCGGCCCGTCTTAATTAGTGTTCGGTTGTTAGACTTTTATGGCATGAACCATTCCACTAGGGTCCCGTCTAGCCATTGTGGCTAGCCGACAGTAGAACAGTAGTGAATTTAGATGCGAGTTTATTGCTAGGGGAACCCCCGTGTTGACACGATTGTCGCGGGTTGGTA